AAGAATAAAATATTGCGCAGCGCTTATTATCTTAGGGGATGCAAAAAGGATGGGGAAATATGTGCTACTAAAAAAATTACTTGTGCTACCAAGTTTTTTTTGGGGGTGCCAGAAAATTTTGGCAGTGCTACCAAGAAAAAAGTTAATTTCAAGCCCTGGAAGCAGCTGGCATTAAACCAGGAACACAAAGACATTATGATTTATTGAACATACATAAAACATACATACATACACACATACATACATACATTGCTAAAAATCTGTAAAATTTAGTATGTGGCCATTTATAAATATATGTTAACTCAATAATAGCTTGACATTGTGGACCCCTGGCGGAGACTGAATGCTGAGCTTCAGTATGGAACCAAAAGATGTCGTTGTAGTTGCCATGATCGTTCGTTGGATTCAAGAGTACAGAAGAAAGCAAGACATTGTGCATATTGTACAGCTAAGGTTGGTAATTGTTTGCTTATTAATGTGGTTAAGTTCCAGGTTTTTTTTAACAGATTAGATTAAGATTACTTATTTAGTATCAAATCAAATATGCCTGGAGCATCTAAAAACAGTGTTGAGCAACGATTATAATTTCAATAATAGACGTTCTTGTACATAAAGAGAATGATGGCCAAGTTAATACAACTGTATTTAGGAAAAGCAACTTCTATTGGTCTTCTCTTGGCATTTTGAAGTTCTTGTTCATCAACTTACAAGTTGAGACTAAATAAATATTCATTGACAGAATTTACAAAATTAACAACAGTTGGAAAGGCTCTCATGAAGACAAATTTAAAAGGAACAGTCCAAATCTCATCGTTCAAGTCAAAGACACACGCTTACAACTCTTTACATACTATGCATTACTAATGTATGCAAGGTGTTCCATATTCCTTGGATATGATTACTAATTACGATCTTAACTTATTAATATTCATTTGAGTTCTGTATGTACTCGTAGTTAAGTTTTTTTTTGTTTGCTTTCTGTTTGTACTGAAGATGGGTTAAAGAGTAACACCGGAAACATTTTAACCATTAAATTGTTAGTTCTTTTCTTAGATTTATCTGCTCTAACGCCCTCTCGAGGGGCACCATTGTGTAATCCAATGTACCTAACGGTTATTTGAATCTGTTCTACCATGAAGCCTCTGTGGCGTAATGGTTATGGTGAGAAGTCACAGGTTTGAATCCTGTCGGAGACATTTTATTAAACATATATATATATATATATATATATATATATATATATATATATGGCTCAATCGGC